TTAAATCTAGCTTTTAACCACAATGTATTTCTAAATACTTTTAATCAGTATTTAGTCAATGTCTGTGCAGTGCCTTGCAATAATATATATACTACTTCAAAAAAGACACAAACTTAATCAGAAAAAAGAGTTTAAATTGTTCTTTATGTGATATGTGGTGCATATTTATGACATGGAGGGAAAACAATGGACAATTACAAATATTTTTTGGGTGAAATAATCTGGAAGGTGTGGCACACATTTGTATTAAGCTCCTACTCACAAACAAAGCTATTCCATTGTAAATTTTAAATTTTTTTTCTGAATTTTTCTCCAAGTTTTTAAACTGATGAAGATTCTCAGTCATCCAGGTCATAGTAATTTCGTAAAAGTTAAAAAACAATCCACTGGACAGGGTTTCCAAGGTCTGAAGATGTTTCACTTCCCGTCCAGGAAGCTTTCTCAATTCAAATGTCTGGATTCGCAGTGAGTTTGAGGCTTTATATAGACAAGGCCTTTTACTGCTTGGAAACATGCAAATTGAAACTGACGAGTGGGTTGGTTCCATTGTTAGCCTGTAATATCTGAAACCTGTCTATTAGGTTTTTGGCATTTTTTATTTTTTTTTAATATACACACTAAAGTTTCTCCAGACTTCCTAAAAATCGTCTCCAGAGTTGTTTATCAAGCCATGCCACAAATTCTTAATTGCGGTGAGGAGGTTTCAGCTGCAACAGAGCTAGCTCAACTGCTTTACTTACCGCCATTTTATTAAGCTGTTTTGAACCAGGTTAGAAACTAATACATGCAGGATGTGGGCCCTGGAGGACTGACTTTCTGCAAACTAATCCATCCCATTGTAGCTATCAGTATGTGTAGGGTCACTTACCAAATGAAAGGTGATCCTTCACACCAGTCTTTATGCTCTAAATTTGACCTCTATCTGGTTTCCTTCAAGAATTGCCATAAGTTTAGATGATGGCGTCACAACCAAGTTTCACAGTGTAGATTACTACAGAGTTATATGCACTTAAAGTTGTTCATTATCACTACATAGGCTACTTTACATGTAGGCCAGAAACTTCTTATCTCATTAGGGCAACTTTTTCTCCATCTTCTACCTTTTTTTGTTGCAAAACAGACTTCTTGCTTTCATTCAACACGTCTCCTGTTTGTCGTTCTTTCATAAAGGCCATATTGTACTGCTCTCCTTCCAAAGCAAGTCTCAGTATCCACATCTAGATAGATGTGCAGTTATGTAGCTTGGTTCTGCTGGAGGCTTCTTCCTGTTAAAAGGGAGTTTTTCCTCTCCACTGTCGCTACAAGCATGCTTGGTGTGAGGGATTGCCTTCGAGTCAATGGGTCGATGCAATCAGATGGTTTTCCTTAGATAGAAAACTTTGTCTCTGTAAAGTGCCTTAAGATTACATTTTTGTGAATTGGTGCTATATAAATAAACTGAATTGAACTGAAGCTGTGGAATGCCATTTGTATTTTTAGATGATAGAATAAACAGTTATCCTCAAGAGGGTCTGCGTTTAAGCTAATGTTCGTAAGACAAAAGTCCTCTAAATTTCTTCACAACCTTATTCCTGATTGTATTGTTTGTGCATTGTTGTGCATTGTGCTGTCCTGAAACATTGCCATACCGTGTTTCATTTAGGATTATCAAAGAAAAGGGAGCTAAAAGATAGAGGAGAAAATAGATATTTGTACAATATTTCTTTGCCTCTGTATTTATAACTTAATTCAGAGGGACTCACATATAAGAACCCTTAGGTAATTTTTATCCAAAGCATCCAGTGCTGCAGAAAGTACAGCTATCTCCTAATGTTTATCTACCCTCAGCATACCAGTGATGTCAATGACAGACACAGTTGAATCAGTGAATGTCTATGTGGAAAATTCCCTCCTACTTGAACCCACACATATGAACTTCTTCCTGCATAGATGGAGCCAAAGACTCAATCCACAGCAAGTCTAAACTGTCCTTTGAAATTCGTCTAAACATGGAGATAAACAAGAATGCTTATGTCTGAAATGCATGCAAATCACTGTTACCGGTAGTTATTCGAACGGTATTGTTTCATGTTAGTGAAATACTTAGACAACACATACACTGTGTTTAGGTGATAATAAAAGGTCAAAGTTAGCATGTGGCTGTCGGCAGATGTACGTCTTCTTTTCGTGCTCCACTCATTTTAGTTGTTGCTCTGAAACTGCTGCAATTGTTCCTGTACAACTATTCCCGATTAATAACATAGTAGTAATAATAAACTAATTCAGCAATTAAACCATTTGGAGTATATAGATTTTAAAACATTTTATTTGCTGAAAGAACAACTCACTCAGAGCAGAACAGAGCAAACTGTGAAAAAAAACATACGTTTTTGATTTCCGACTGAAAACTTCTTGTCATCTAAAAAAACAAAGATAGGGTAAGTTAGTACTTATGTATATGAAAAGGGTTCTAAAGTATTTAAGCGACATTTTGCCCTTTGATGTTAGAAAATTGTCTTCTAAAATCCAGAAAGCAGTATCCAACCAACACTTTTTCACACCTTTTTGTTTGTGACCTTTCTCAGCTGCCACTGTATTGATGTTAAGTGAGCCAGAAAACGCTAAACGTTTGACATGTTGATGTTAGAACTTTTAACTTTAGCTGTGGCTGCACTCATGACTTCAAATGCTATAGTTTACACTAAAGAAATCATATGTTACATATCATTTGTTATTTCTACATTTTTTCATGCATTTTTGTTGTTCATAAAGCAAGCTGAAGTAGATAAATACATATATCTGCACAAAGGGCCAGTTGTTTGTCCAATAACTCGATTTTTAACCTGAACAAAACTGAATATTTGATTATAAGAGTAATTATAAAATTGCAATCTTATATTAAAAACAGCTTTTTATTTAGTATTTATTGGTTATTTTTAAGAAATCCCTACTGATATAATGAATTAATTTTGACTAATATCTGAGTTTAGTTTGATTTGTGCTTGATAAGCCTTTACAAGGTCTGAATATCATTTACAACTTGATACATTTATTTCAATTTTAGAGTTTAATCTTTAGTTTAACAAATAATCTAAGCTTATATTACATTATCTCGTGTTTTAAAAAAAGATACATTCTACAGTTATCATGTCACTTTGGGCTGAATGAAAGGACTATTAAAATACAGACACTGTAAAAAAAACAATGTAGGCTGCTCATTAAAGATAGATACTGGGCCTTTTTTTAAGGAATTACAAAAAATTTGGGTATTCCACACATGCCTCTCACCCATAGACAACTGGAGATAGGCACCAGTCTAGAGCTCTCACTGCAAAAACAAACTAGAAATAAATAAAATGTTCTTTAATTAAGTTTACATGCCCTTAATTTGAGTAGGTAAATAAGATGATTTGCCAATGGAATGAGATATTTTACTTTTAAAATAAGATAATTAGATAATATGCACTTGAAATATGATGATGCAATTAATTTTCTTATTTTAATTTTGAATTGTCTTGTTCAATTGACAGTGTCTCATTTCCCTCAACTCAAGAAAAAAGTTTCCTATTTTAAGAAAAAAAGACTTGAAGGCAATCATTCACACCAAAAATGACTTAAATTTAAATTTTTGCAGGGCTGTCAAAAAGTCTCTTTATTTGTTACCACCAAAATATCATATGGCAAAAAAAAAAATCTATGTTTTTAGGAACTAGAAAAGGTTTAATACAGCCTGCTGAAGAACAAAGTGAGAGTCAGAATGTGATGTAACTGACTTCTGGATCTGTCATAGCTGTTAGTACAAGACTGACTAGTCCAAGTATTTCAAACGCTCCAGATTTCCAGATTTTTACACACAACCAACTCCTGGTTTTTCTGAAAAAGGTAAGGAAATGGGATGATACCAAGAGAACTTCTGTTGTATGGATGGAAATGCCACATAATAGTTGAGCTCTAAGGAGATTGGGTATTCTGGTTAAATATGATAGAAGGCTGTAGTGGCTCAGGTAACATGAACAACAAGGTAAGCAGGAGGGAATCTCTAAATTCAAAATAGTGGAACTTTCAAACAGATATATGACAAGCAGCAGAAGTCTACATCATGTAACAATTAAGAAGAAAAAACTGGTACTAAAATAGCTTGGCAGAACAAAACTGGACTGACTTTGAACAAGATTATATATATATATATATATATATATGTTGTTAAAGCAATGGTGACATATTGATGGAAAGATCAGAAAGTGAAACTGATGCATCCTGCTTTTGAATTTCTTAACACCTTTTGGCCCCTTTGTAACAACTGAGCCTTGTTTCAAAACCATCTGAAGATTATCTGATGCTGCTGCTATTTTTCACATATCTACTACTGTAAAAAGTGTCCACAGCTGTGTATTGGCTATTTATTCTCCAGGTGCATAGTATCTATATTGTAAAAACGCTTTACAGTACAGTATTTTTTTCACCTCTTCACTAGTCTGTTATTTTTATACACTTTTCTAGGCTCCACAGTCGTGTGACCACTTTTGTTATAGTCTTTTGCTGCTGTAACAACACAATTTCCCCATTGTGGGACATATAAAGGGATTTTCTATTCTATTCAATCACCGCTGATGGTGTTCATCCTAATGGCTCTGATGGCACCAAATCATCTGAAACTGAAGTTAACGTCTCTTTCAGTTCGCTGTACTCCAATGAACTCCATAGATACCAACTCAGTAGAAATGAGCACCATGTGGGGAGAGCGGTAGGTTGGTATCATGAGAGCGCGGGCAATAATCTGCAGCTACTGTGGGATTTGGATCTTCTGAAATGTAACAAAACCTCTGTTTTATCTCCATGTCACTAATAGTGAACTTCTCTGAAGGAGGAAGAGGCTCTGGTTCTGCAGTTGCAAGGTGTAACTAATAAAGTGGCCATAGCTCTGTCTGTAATTTTGGTTTCATTGCAGCTTGACTTCTTTCCTACTTGTCATGCAGTTATGGATCTATGAAGGCTGAAGTGATGTGTTTCAGTGGGATTACCTTCTTGGACACGTGGAAGGTTGGATTGGTCAATCTCCAGCTCTGCCATCTCTGCCCCCTGTTCTCACTCCTTCATGGTGTTATAGAAGACCCTGACACATTACAGAGATTACACATTACACAAATATGCAGATCAGACTTAGAGCTATAGAGAAATTTGGTTTAAAACAAATATATCTAGATTACATGGTTACATGGCTGTTTAGAGGTTACTATTTGAAATAGTTGGATGATCTTGTCAGCAATGAGAAGCAAAACAGAAAGGATTATATAAAAGCAATTTAAATATAATCAGGTGACTGGCAATATTACAAGAGAAAACAGATATTTGTAAGATATAAACAACTATATCCGCGACGTAGCAAGTTTATAATAGAAAGAGGTCAATTATAAGCAACCTACCAGCTTCCAATTCGCTGCCCTCACAGGCTGCAGTGTCGTTTATATATTCATAAACACGCTGCTTATTCAATAAGTCCCAAACATAACTAAAACTGTCAACTTGTCCAGGCTCCGTCCAGTTTCAGTCCTTCTTCCGCTTTTCCTCTTCAGTGGATCTCAGGAAAATAAAGTGCGCTCTTGGCGCTGCGTCTGGCCGCCTCTAACGCACCAACTTTGGCTGTGAATCCTTCAGCATAGAGACGGAGCTTCACCCTGACACAGACAAAGAGCTGTTGGTTCGGTGACAGAAACCAGACGGAAGAAAAGTTGATCCAGCAGTGGGTCCGTGGGTTGTTCCTTCACAGCTCCTGTTGAGCTGCGTGGGCGGTCATTGAATGCTGCCTTCACGTACACACCTTCAGGCTCCGTCTTTTTACTTCCACAGCACCGGGTGATATTATTGTGAAGCTTTCACACCTGATTAATAAAATACCCTGGAATATTAGAAACCTGCAATTTAACCGTGGTGGCAAAATCAGGCTACTCTATTGAGACTATTGAAGAAAACACTGGAGGTAGGGTTTGTCTGGGCTGAATTATCTAAATAAATTGTTTTAATTTTTTTATATTTACTTTATGAGCCTTTAACAAAAACATTAGGCCCTACATACATCTTCCAGTCCTCGTCATTTTATAGATTATTGATTACGTCTAATAGTTTGTTCAATCTTTTTTTTCCCCGCATGTTTATATTACAGGCAGAGGCGTAGCAAGAACATTTTTATAAGGGGGGCCAAGCAATAACCAATGTACAGGAAAATTAATGAGCAAAACATCCATATTCTATAAATAAAGACAAACTATCCCTTAGAAAAAATTAGTTTATTAAAGTATACTAAAAGTGCACTAATTTCATACTTAAAACCAGGCAGTTCACTTAGAGTTTACTTATTTTATACTATTGTTTTCTTTATTGTTTTCTAAAGTATACTTTAAGTATACTTTAGTAAACTCAAAAATGTCCCAATTTAGTTTGAAGAAGTATTACTTTAGTAATACTTCAAGTACACTAAAAGTACATTGTTCAGTATACTTTCGAAACTTATACTTATACGTACTTAAGTATTCTTAATAGAATATACTTCAAGTATACTGCTTTTTGCTAAGGGATATTTTGCCACAGTCTTTGCTAACAAATAGGTGAATATATTCAAACATCGTGCTTTCTAGATAAAAGGTATAGTAGATAAAAAATTTTCAGGTTTCAGTTTTGGGTGAACATCTTTTCCATTGTCACTACTTACATACCTTTATCAGTAATCATTCTGCATAAAATTGATATTTACAAGCAATAATATCTACATAAATTGATTATTTAATAACTTTTTATTAAAATAGTTATTTATTTCACTGAAGACTCCTAGATTACTTTTCTCTTTACCCCATAAAAAACAAAATTTATTTCTGCTTGAAATCTGTAATTATCATCTTTAATGTTAGTATATTGATGTGCATAATTAACCATAGTGTTATTGTTGTCAAGTAATTGTTAATATATGAAAAGGGGTGGCCATGATTGGCTAAGGGTGGCCCCTGGCCCCCCATCTAGCTCCGCCCCTGATTACAGGTCATGTGAGTCAGGCCTGTACAGGTGAATCTCATCTGACAAAACCTATAAATATAAAACTTTTGAAAATCAATCTTTTAAATGTTTTAATCATCAAGTTTATCAGTTAAAGAATGACGTTTGGTTTAAAATAGAAATATACAGATCAGACTCAGACCTATAGAGAAATTTGGTTTAAAACAAAGATATGCAGATTACATGGCTACACAGTTGTATTTGCACCCTGGTTACTATTTTTGATCATTTGGGGTCTATAAGGTATTAGACCACATTCGCGGTTTTAAACTTGGATATAAAAGGATGAGAAACAAACGGCTGATCAGTAAAATAATCAGTTCTTCCGCATTGGAACTACTGGATATTTACTTTAGTTTCCTAAATAAAATGTCGCCCTCTGGTGGTTACATTCAACAAGCTTTTGAGTTCAACAGATAATTGCGTCTGCAAATGGAAAAATACATAAATAAATACATATGATAATCCATATGAATACATTTAAATACATATGATAAATGATAAAATTGTCCTGGTGTTCAATACCAAATGTAAGCAAATACCAAAAGTTGTGATTTAACTAGTACACTTAGATCATTTTAGGTTGTGTTGTCAAATCTAACCATATTATTTCCCATTTAACATCTATTTTTTTGACGGAAATTTGATCCCATTCCATTGTAATACCGACGAACAAAAAAAAGGGAAAAGCCTTGATTAATAATTATTTTAAAAAAAAAATCTTTCTTTAGAAATCTGTCAAACCTTCTTGTGTTTTTTTCTATGCAGAATTTATTTGTTAAACTGGAATAAATTTTATCCTTCTGTTGTATTGCTGTGAAAGCATTCTATCGCAGGCTAAACTTTAATTTGTAATATGCTTAGAGGGCTATGGATTTTTAACCACATTGGAGGGGCACAATAATTATGAAAGTATTTGCAAGCAGTTGTCAAAAACAATTAATTTTTTATAGGAAAAAAATTATTTCTATCTTGTGATTTTAACCATTGTTTCTGTCTATTTTTGTGATAACCTGCAGTCAAAATGGAAAATGGTTCTCATTTTCTAGAATTTTTCATATCTTCAGAAGTATAATACCTGCATATTTTTACTACTTAAAGTTAACTAGCTATACTATACATGTTATCTTCAGCAGCTATAATATTTTATCTATCTTTGCTGAAGTGAAAGTGAATGTCATAATTTCAGTCATGGAACACATTATTAGACCTTGTCTTTTTCCATTTTTTGTGCATGGTTCACTCCAGGCAATATATATTTTGAACATGAAATTGAAGAAATTAAGGTGGTCTAGTAAGGTGTTTTTCATGTATGAATTTTAATTAAATCTTTCTTAAGTCATCAAATCAACCTGCCCTAACAGTGCCACAGCAACTTAATTTATTTCCTTCAGAAAGAGTGTCTGATACCAAAATAGACAGGCACAAAAATATAAGATAGATACAAAAAAGCAACAAACAAACAAGGACAACCCTATCATTGAAGGCATGTTTTTTTTTTTTTTTTCATATAAATCACTTGGGATTTTCTTGCACCTTTATAAAAAAAAAACATGTCTTACACATGGCTGCCTTCATAGTATCATTTTAATCATTTTCTCTTTCAGCTCCTTCTACATTTATTATTCATTAGTAAACTGTTTTGCACAGGATCAAGCTTCATATATCAACAGTTTTAAGATACATCTAAATTATTGCAACTAAAACTGAGAAATCAAAAAGTAGAGCTTTATTTATATTATTTAATTTAAAGGATTTAAGAACATTGAGGTTTTTTTTTCGATAAACAGTAGATTGTATGAGTGAGATGTTTTTTGTGAGAGTTGACATTTAACCAGCGAACAGTAATTGTAGCACAACTGATGTGTAACTTTCCATAGTTACACATTATTATATGAGAGTTCAAAGGCGTAATTTGTGTCGCTGATAAATATTTGAAGCACAGGTGGGAAATGTAACTTTTAAATAGCTGCTTTTCAGATTTCTGACCACTAATAAAGCTTCTATTACACGATCCAGCCATATTGGATGGACTCATAAATTTTGGTTTGTTGCATGACTAAGAGGAGGGGGAAGCACAGAGCGAGCAGAACATCACCCTGCCTTACCGAGGATCTACATTTTGTCGATCAATCAATTTAATTCAGTGACCTGTGAAAAATTTCCTGCTGCTTTAAATTGATTTCAAATGTCAGACAGCTCATAGAAAAAGGCTTATGATCATTTAAGCCTGCCCTGAACCTCTGATAAAGTCATTACTTTGGTTTATTAGAATCTCTCTCTGCTTTGTATGCAATAAGATTTAGGCGAAGACAAGTTACATGACCTGAGAATTTAACAAAGTGGCAGCATAAAAATAGAAGTGATTGGTCTGCACTGTTTGTATGCCACCTGCTGCCCTCCAATGTTGTTGACGTGACAGTCTACCATCTTGCTTTAATAACATTTATAAACTCTGGAAAATTGGTTAATCAAACCAAAGAGCTGCTAAAAAAAGAACTGGTGCCTTGGAACACAGACCAGCGAAATGTCTTTTTATTAAGCCCGTAATTCACCAGATTCTCCCTGCTGATTTACAGCATCGACAATGGATGGGACTCTGCTACTCTGCCTACTGCTGATGGCTGTTTCAATAAAAAAAGGCGTGCACGTCTCAAAGTGGACTCCAACTTGAAGTACATAAAACAGCTGGGGCCGCTGAGCTTTTAGAAGTCTTCACCACAGGACCTTCGTGCAAATCAGAACTACTCCTCACAACAGCATCTGACAGTGATGAAGCGGAGCCATCTCTTCTCCTGGGCCATTGTGCTTGTTGCCTCTGGCCGCCTGCTGGCCCATCCCATCACAGAATCTGCTGAAATACCTTATTCAGTACCAGGTAAGAAGAAGAGAATATTATCTCTATTAGAGTTTTTACGAAAAATAATCCATCAATTAGGATATCGGTAATTAGTCCTTTCAGTCATACAATTTAATTTCTAAAGATTAATGATAGCACAGTCTTAACCTGGGGCCATAGAGTAATTACCTGAGTGCTGCAATGCTCAGCAGTGATTTTTCTGCTAAAGTTCATACAGAGGTTCTACTAGCTGGTGATAAATGTGGGTCTTTCTACTAATGTAGTTAAATGTCTGTTGGTTAGAGGTCAATGTACAGTAATAGTTTGTGAAAATTATATTTTTTAATATATTTAAGCCTCTTTTTTGATGTTTCCTTTAATTATTATTAAATAATACATATTTTTTTGGCTTCTGCATCAGTGGAGGATCGAGTTATCGGCACGTTGGATGACGACTCTCTTCCTGAGCAAACGTATTCCAGTTTTTTATCCGGGGAACTTACCAGAGATGGTAAGGAGTGCTTTTAAAACTTGTATTAGAGATGCAGAAATGTGAAAATCTAAATATTTCCTTTAAAGAAAAATATGTCTGGCAAGATAATGTTGCAGAGGCAAATTACAAGGCTTTGGATAACTTGAGTAGTTTTAAATCAGTTACGATTCTATTCCTCAGGTATCAGGACGAGTCTGCTGCCAAGAGGTCTCAAAAGAGAGGTGCGTAATTTTAAACATTTATTCCAAAAATACTAAAAAATTATCAGCTAAATTGCATTTTGCTCTGATTTTTTTTTTTTTTTTGGCAGACCAACAAAAAGTGCAATAATATAAGGTGAAAGGAAAATGATACACGATACATAGAAATATTGGGTCAACCCAACATTTGTAGATTTCCCTTCTTCCCTGTGCCAAATTTCAGAGTTACTCAGTTAGAATAGACGCATGGATTTGGCCAGTCAAACAAAGGACTACACTTTGATCCTTAAAAAAAACATTCTCTAATCATGGTGCTCCACCACCATCACTCCTCGTTGGGATCATGCGTTAGATTAGAAAAACATTGTACATTTTGTCAATTGAAAACATACCTTTCAAGTTTAAATTTGACTAAAACTTATGTTGAAACTAACATAGAAGGAATCTACTAAAGGCAATTGTTTTGGTTAAGTATTAGAGGGGCATGAATGCAAATACGAGCCACGCGTTTTGGAAATGTTATTCTAGCAAAACATTTTTAAAGCACTTATCCTTTTCTGTGCCCATTACTAGTCTGCATCATTATGTCTTTATCTATCACATGAAATCTCTGTATAATATATGGACATTCCTGATGGATAAGTGATAAATATTAGGTATAAATACAACCCACTATGTCGTAACTGTAAATGAAAACTGTGATACATCCATATATTAGGCATGGTACTATTGGTATATAACCATTATTTTCTTGCTTTCAGGTCTTACTGGACAAACAAAGTCTTTTGAAACCTTACAGCCATCTGCTGAGCATCCGGAAGCAGCTCAGGAAGAGAAATGGAAATTCTGAGTGTTTCTGGAAGTACTGTGTCTAGAAGCTAACATATAGCACCATGCATGCATTACAGTTGACTTTCAGCTATCACACTTACACTTTAATTTAGCCAATCTAAGCTTTTCAATTAATTTACTGGAGGATTTACTTCTAAACTTTTAAACTGTACATATTAAAACATAATTTTAGATGCAAAAATCAAATGTTATAAAGAATAAAAAAAAAAAGTAAACATGACTGTTTGTTGTTGTGTAACACTTTGGGAAAATGACAATAAAAGTGAAGGACGAAGCAAAAACGGATAGGAAAATAGGATCTCAAGTTTTCTTCATTTTTTCCTTTTTTTATTATTTTACAGCAGAAAGAATATAAAGCATTCAGAAAACATCTTCCATATTTTAAGGGCAATTCAAAATGTTTTGCATGGCTTCAGCAGCAGAAATCTCATTTTTTTTAAACATATCCATTGAGTCAGTGACGCTTGTACATGCACAATTACAAAAATAAAACTTACAAACAAGAAAAGGGGAGAAAAAGGAGGAAAGCGTAACACATTAGGAGAACTGAGAGCAGATGGACATTTTTTAAGGGTGGGGAGCAGAGAAAACTTGGATCACATAACAGGGAAAGACAGAGAGAAAGACAGCTATAGAGGAGAGGAAAAGAGATCTAACACTAGTTCACATGCAAAGTGTCGAGGACCCAAGACTTTCTATCAAAGCAGGGCCTTTTTTTCTTCTCTTCAGTTTGAAATTGATGAAAACGTGCAATTCCGTAAAGGGTGCCATATAATTGCTGTCAATAAACTACTGAATGCTTGTCTTGCAATACTGGCATTTGCATAAAGAGTAAGTTAACAACACGTGTCCCCGTCATTTTAAACTTTGCTAGGCCTGTAGGGCTCCACAAATTAGTTTCTTTATTGCTCCATTTCTACACGTGGATCATTCTGCAAAAGTGGTTTCTGTTCTGTTGCCCCAATGTGCCTACCTTTCTGTGGTTTGGGTGCTTTGGAAAAAAAGAAGAGGAGGAAAGGCAGATTCTCAGGTCAATTCGCAGAACATCTTAAAACTGATAAATGTTAAACAAGTGTGCCTATTGTCTCACTGAGAAATGGCAGTAAAAACAAGATTTATAGTTGCAGTTGTCATTGTATGACTTTAATTATTTAATACCCTCTAGATTTTGCGCTTATATAAATGAAAGACATAAAGAAGAGTGCATCTTTTTAAGAAAACAAATCATTCAATTCAAAGAGCCGCATACGAATAGACTCTATTTCAGGTTTCCACCTATTTAAGGTCACTGAGAGGAAATTCATTTGATTAATTCACTTTCAGGATTTTTTTTAAGGAAATCATTATTTCCATTTACTTTATTTAGTTTTTTTCAGCTTCTTCTGATGTAAAACATATGTCCTGCTATGTTTCCTCCTCCCCATTTTGGCACCCTGAGTAAAATACAAAAGGGAGGTTAACCAACACTAAATGCTTACGTTTCCATTTATCCTAAAAGTGAATTTGGTGGTACACTGACTCAGTAAAAATGAAGAATAAAAAGCAAAGGAAACATTTAAGAAACTTGTTGTGAAATATAACTGTGTCCTCATGCTCACAAAAACATCAGTAGCTACAGAGTACTGATCATTGCCTTAATTTGCAGGTTCCCCCCTCCTTCAGTCACAGTCTCCCTTCTGTGATGCTCTAAACCAGCTGCTAACTGTTTTGCAAACATCATGTCTCCAACAAGTCTATCTGACCATCAGTCCAAAAAAAATAAGCATGCTATAGTTACAGCTCTGTCACCCAGTTAACTAGTTTACCATGCAAACATTAAAAATCCATCTCCCACTTTGTCCCCAAACATAGCATTGGCTATGCATTCTAACCACAAGCTAGATGATGAGCGCAAGGCAGCAAACCCTGATCATGGTGAAGCTAAAAAAGTCAAGCTGTTACAGTAGAAAATGGAAGAAGCAGGGAAAATGAAAATAAAGAAATAGCATGGACAGGCTGGAGAGCTCTAATTCTAATGTGCAGGGGAGTGAGTGTAAAGGTACAATGTTGGTGATCGTGTCACATACTCCCTCAGGTACACTGAATGCATTCTGCAACTGGTGTTAAGAGGACATGAATAGGCACTTTCTACATAAACACTGCAAATAAGGTAAACGCACCAGGTGACTTGGAAAATAAAAATACAACATCCAGTCCATCCAGGACATAAAATCAAAGATATCTAGCTATCTACCTATCCTAAAAAAATAAATAAAAAATAAATACATACTTAAATAAATATATAAATAAATGAAAATCAGGTTTTCTGTGGCACTTGGCTGAATTTTCACATGTTTGGATACAGAGTACACTTTCTGGCAGAACTATTTCATGAAATAAGAATTAGACAGCAGCCAATAGGCACCCAAAAGTTCCTTTTTTTCTAAGCACCCCATGTTGTTTTGATATTGTCCAGTGTAAGATACACAACTGCTATAATTTACACACAATATTTTACAGTCATTTTAGCTTATTGACTTTTCATGGACATGTATGGGATCTTCCAGTGCTGCCCTAGTATTAAATGAGCACCTTCAACAGTTTATTTTGCAGGTGTGCATTCAGAAAAACACATTCATGTACCATTCACCACCGGTCATTCAACTCTAGTGTTTTTGTTGTGTCTTTTTTAATATATATATATATTTTTTTTATACAGTGGATCATACATTTTACAAACCAGTTAAAATGTCAGGGTGGAGTGACGTGAAAGATTTTGACCATGCTATATAATTTCTAATCTTTTCCCACCTCTAACGTGACTCATATCCAGTAACATTCAACTGAAAAACAACAAAATCTGACATCATGAGTAAAACAAGATCTAACACCTGGGTCTGGATCCTTGTAACCTTGAAATAACATACGCCATGGGTTCTAGGTAATCGAATTAACCTAAAGTAAAGGACTTCTGTAACATTTTGGCTACCTTTGTCTTTTAGCAAAGGCCACGATTTGCAGAAAGGTAAAACAAAACAAAAAAATATTGAGATGTTCCCGTTGAAATTATCCCATTGTATAAATTTATCAAGTAGGGTAATATTAAAAATAATTCGTAGCATCTTACAGTGTTTTAAGTGTAGGCTGCCCATGCAATGCCAAGCTTGTTAGCAATGTTATACTGCAGCAATATTAGGGCGCTTTTAGCTATAGGTTTGGGATTTTCTGGATGTTATCTGCATCTTTAGCCCAAGCATGCATGGATTCTCTCCTGATACTCCAAATTCCTCCCACAAACTGTTAGGTTAGTTGATTACTCTTTATTTTGAATATCAGATAGATCATATTACAGCGGATCAGCTTTTTGCATGTTTTACTGGTTGCCTGATGATTTATTACTTCCAGTTATAAGAAGCATGTTATTAAAACTTAGAAGATTACTTTTCACCTAATCTGTCACTGGTATGAATAATTTGAGCACAGCTGAGTATAAAAAATGGCACTATGAGGGCAGTGATCAAAAAGGGAGGAACTGTCATTTCACTCTGATAGGTTTTTTCAAGGCTTCAAATAATCATGGGCCTCCAAGAGACCTACAGGAATATTGAATAAACTTATGGAATTTCAAACAGGAACCTGCTGACTTCTACATGCATAAAAGCTTAAATAGACCTTGAATCGATTCTCTTTATTTTTGGACTAAGGATTGTTAAACAATCTTTTCTTTCAAATAAAGCAGTCAGTCCTGGTTAAAATCTTCTTAAAACCCTCTGTAAGAATATTAGTACCGTATAATGAGAAGAACAAAAAGAATTTCTTTACCTGATTTACAAATTGTATGAGTTGCACAAAAACAACCTTACACATCACTGAAAGTACAGTACTGTAAAAAGACTGGATGCCTTTTCTTAAGATTTCCTAGATGGAGCTCTGGCCTGAATCTGAAAGAATGGGCAAATATGAACTCAAATTGACTTTTGATTCTGTTTCAGCATTCAATTCGGCACAATGTGCATAATATTGAACATTGGAAATTATATTCATCATGGTCCCAATTTATTTTTAACATCACAGAGACCAAAATCACACTGCAGAATACCAGATATGATTTTGCCAAACATTACTGGAAAAAAAATAAATAAAATCTTTTACACACATGCTATGCATCATGTCAATCCTAATAAATACTGCCATAATTTTATGAATGTCAATCTATGAGTTTTGAATCAAGGCTTGGTGCACCAGCTTGCACAGCTGAGATGATGAATTCTATCTGGTTGAGTGATAGGGAGCAATACCGCCGGGATTGGTTTTTGGGATCAAAATAAACAAGGCTTCCATTTACAATCTTTAAGTTCGAACACGATACCGCAATAATCATCACATTCTTTTTTTAACTGATGAAAATGAAGTACATACGTATTTGATATGGTATATTAGGAGATGAACAAATGCTCTACATATACAGATGGCAGAAAAGCATTAAACTTACTAAACTAAAAGGCCCTCCGTTTGAAAATGAGTCCCTTTGCAAGTTCTTGTTTCTTCAATCCTCAGCCAGTTGTGATATTATGGTTTTCATTCCTTAGAGTGTATTTCACTGTATGATTATCTGTTCTGCAAAAATGAACTTAAATAAATTCTTAAGCTTCATAGCAATCGTAAACCTTGGCACCGTTGGCAAAAGTTTCTTGGGAGCCTAAACTTAACAGATTATGAAAAAAAAATGAAAGTAACTATAGTGGGTTTAAGATAACTTTTAAAGACCTCTCCTAACACTAAATACATTATTTTTTTTTTACTTTTTCATATGCAATAATATCATGCTTTAGCAAAATGTTTGTCTCCGGAACAATCAAAATAAATTAAAATACTCTAATAGTGAAATAGTTTTTAATTTTACAGAGCATAGCCACTACTGCTTTAGTTTCCTCCCCCCTTTTAGCTCTGTTCATAATTTTCATGCACTTAGCTCATCTTTATCCCAGATATTTACACTATATACAAACAATAGAACCATACTTCTTCAGCATTCAAACAAAACTATACAAATATTCTGTTTTTGTCTTGTACCTGTTTTTGACCCATTTTTAATGAATAAAATAATATATTTCTAAAATACAATCCCTGTAAGGGAACATGTTTATTTTTTCCCCTACATACTTGCAGCCTTCTTTTATATACAGAAAATCACTCAATTGTCAAAAAATATGGATTTGTCAAACCCCTATTTTGGGACAAACTTAGGGACCCCACAGGGAATCTCTAAGATGTCAAGGCAATGTATGTGATCTTCCCCTCTAAAGCCTGCAGAGGCTCCGGAGTTCAACTTAAAAGAACAATGATAACCTGCATGGCCAAACGGGTTACAACACAGAATAAGGAGGTGCTTTCCTCATGTAGAGAGACAAACATGAAACAAACAAGTTACCTGGGAGAACATAGAGATTAATTGCAGAAATAAGAATGGCTCTTATGAGGGTAGAAAAAAAAGGATAAACAGAAGAAAGACCAAAAGACTAGACTATAATCACACAAGCAAAGACTTTTTTTGTCTAGAAGTCATGCATTATTTTCTTGGTAGGTTTTAACAACATATAGCCTGAAGATACAGCTCACCAATACATTAGACATGATGGAAGGAATACATTGGACAATATGAAACAAATTCAAGTAATAAAGGGACTATATATATACAATAAAGCATAGTATCTTTTTAAAAGAAAATGTTTTTAATCCCCAATCATCTTCAGTATGAATGTTTAAACCCCACTACATTCAATTGTAGCTCCACCCGGATGGGCAGACTGGACGGGTAGAGTAAAGCAGGACTGGAAAGAACGCTAAGCTATAACGGATATTGTTAAATTGCCAGCAGTGGGTTAAAATAGACATGTCAGTATGGTAAAAAAATCTGTCTTTGAGTGATGTGTGGCCATAAAAAAACTAAAAAAATAAGATGAAATACAGTAAGAGCCCAGAGTGTTTCTGCATGGTCTCCTTGTCCTTAAAGATTTGCTGCAACAGCCCTAACTTTCATCTTTTGAGGTCCTCTTGTTTGACCGACCACCTGTCCTCCGTCATCTCTCATCGCTGTCCAAAACTTCTTCCTAGCTTAAAAAAAAACAAAACAAAACACAGAAAACCAGTCCATGGAAAAGTGCAAAAAATGCCATGAAGCCAATGTTCTGCACCCGTTGCCCCTGTTCTTTCAGTTTATAATTCTGCAGAAGTCCCCAAGTCAGTGGAAAGAATACACATGTTGAAAAAGAAAAATTGCTGTTGTACAATGTAATAGTAGTCGAACCTGTAACACTGCTTTAGTAGTAATAATAACAGCAGTGCTTGAACTGATGTTTTTCTTTTTTTTTTCCTTTTCTTGTTCTGTTCTCTTGTAAAATGTCTCAGGTACAAACAAAAAAGAAAAGAGGAGGCAGGGGGAGTGATGTCACATCGCAAGGGAGCTCTTCTGAGGCGTCTCATGTTCCCTGGCCTTTTTCAATTCTTTCACCCTGGAACACAGAGAGGGATTATGATAAATTAATGTAAGAGGTAAATAGAGAGAAAATAATCAGTAGACATCCATAGATAAGTCAAACACCTGACTTGTAACTGAAAAAAACAGAAGCTCAGGTCATCAGGAGATACTTTCTTTCAGGGGAAAGAAAACCAGCAAACCCTTAAAAAGTAAAGATCATTGCTAAACTAACGTTTGAACTAAAACATAACCTAGAACGTAAGCTATGTCTTTAAACGTCAGTTGACCACTCTTCTTCTTGCAATCATTCTTGTTATTTTGTAAATGCAGCCTATTGCTATAATTATTTTAAAGAAAAAAACAAACATATTCTATACCTCTTTTAATTCTTTCTTAAATTGTAAAGTTTCACGTTTATAACTGGGATCTAATGTGACAGAAAACACAAGAAGCGTCTCTAAACAGCAGCATTTGTACAACTGGATTTGAACTGGATTTAGATATTATGCTGAAAGTGTTACTGTAGTTTTATTCAAACCATTACAATTCAGCTGTGTTATGTTGGGTCACTGCTCTCCTGGAAGGGGTAAAACCCTAGAATCAAATGTTTTTAAGCTACTAACAACTTTTCTTCAGGGATTTCAGTGTATTTAACTCTACCTGTCTTCCCCATCACTCTCAAGCGTCTCTATTGTTTTCATTGTTCTTTATCATGCTTTTTGTTTACTATTATTCAAAACAAAAATTACCTCTGAGACCTTCACAGAGTGTCTGTATTTATAGTAATTAAATGACACACTAGCAGACTATCTAAAAAAAGAAAGGTTTTCACTTAGGCGACAGACAATTGCACTGGTTTTTAATTAGCTGTACCAGAGTAAAGGGGCATGAATGTAAATGCATACAATAATCATTTGTGGGGGTTTTTTTGTGTGTGAGAAATGTGAACCATTTATCACTGTCTTTAAGCCACTACTTTATGTTAGTCCATTAAAAAAGTCTAAAAAGATACAGACTGTTACAAAAAAAAAACTAAAGGGATATGAAGAAAGTTTTCTGAGTGCACAAGCAAAACACATTCAACCTAAGATAAATAACAAATGCACCTGTACCTCTCAATAAAAGCTAATAGAGTCTACCCTGCTTTATTATTCTTAACAAAAGATAAATGCAACAACACACTGAAGAAATGTGAGCTCGCACACCAACAGAAAATGGGATTATGTTTGTGAGATCATTGAAACATGTGACGTTTATTCTCCAACCCCTTTTATTATACTTTATAAAGAGTACCTTATAATGGAGCTGTCTTAATTTTGATAAATTTCAATGAACTGCTTGACAGAAAGCAGAAATTGAAGGGGTAACAGTTCCCCTCGCAGTCAGTCGAGTGGCTTCAAACAGAGCATACAGTCAGTCAGTCAGCCAGCCAGCCAGAGAGAGGACTACTAGAGAAACAGCAGGTTCATAGCATGCCTAAAAGTAGAAATGCAAGACCTATAGTTGTCACCACTTGACATGCAGAAGGATAAAACAGATTTAAGAAAAGGCTTCCTATAACGTAAAACTTGCAATTTGCAAAAACACAGAAAGCTAAATTAAAAAAGAAAAGAAAACAAACAAATAAGAAAGTGCAAATTTTTGAGGAGAGAAAGACAGAAAAAAAGAGCATAAGGCAAGTCTCTGGTAGGTGTTGCAGTGACATTGTCATTCATAAGCATTTTGTTAGTTAGGGAAGGCTCTGATCTATGTCTGAGCCTCTCAGTCCACCTGTGGCTCCAGTCGGCAGCCTTCATGCAAGCAAGCATCAAGCAAAAGTGATGGGAAATGGAAAAGACTGGGAGGGAGAGAAGAGACCATAAGAGAGGATAAAAAGGGTAGACTTCCCAAGAAAAAACTTCAGAGGGAGATAAGAGTTTTATTAAAGAGCGAGAGTAAAACATAACAGATGTTTAGGAAGAAAAGGTTTTACAGAATAAACAGGTGAGAGATAGATAGAGAGAGACAGAGACAAAGAGCAAGAGAGGAAGGGAGTCACGAACTGAGTTGCTGAGGCTGCACTCACCCGCTTGAACAGTCTATGGTCCATCAAGGGGCTTGGCATAAACAGCAAAACAATACCAGACAGCTATTAGCACACAGTAAGCACTGTGAAGGAGGGGCGAGGACAGCAGAGGGCGGAAGGTGGAGCTTAGGGTTGGGGGTATTTCCTATTATTGTTCTCAAGAGGATAAAGAAATACTAAATCTAACACGCTAAGCAACAGAACAAAGAGATGGATAAGATTATCCGGTTAGAGCAGCATACAGTGGGTGAAGGAACGCCACTGTGCAATATCACCAAAGTAGGAAATGATTTAAAGTTAAGTGATATTAGACAGGGGTGTACTTGCTGCTGTTTTGTACAGCTAATCATACTGTGGCTTATTGATGATTTAAATACAAACTTAATTCATAAGGCATGATCCAGTAAAAAGATGCTTTGTTTTTTGTTTTTTTTTTGGTGCATGGAAAATAATTCATATTCTTTCAAGCATTTTCAGTTTGTCACCTTAAAACCACAAACTTCAATGCTTTTATTGGGACTTAAAGTGATAAAGACTAAGAAGTTCAGAAGTATAGTGGGAAATGAAAACAAGAATTTATAAAAAATATAAAATATAGGTTTTTTTTTTTTTTTTTTTTTACATAATTCACTGCCATGACATGATGCACAGGGGAGTTTTTGTCCAATCAGGTTAAATGGAAAGTAACCATGAAGACTTTTAAGTCTTGTGTCAGATTCTAAATTAGATCAAAATATTTGATTGGATTTTCTTAAGAAGAATTCAACTTTGCTGTTATTGTCACAAGTACAAAGCAATGAAATGAACTCTCTGCATTTAACCTGTCCTCTTGGGGAGTAGTGGCTGCCATTGTGCCAGTGTAAATATACTATTGAGCAGTGTGGGGTAAAGGGTCTTGCTCAGGGACCCAGGCTGGCAGTCTATGGGAGTGGGGTTTGAACTCAGATCCTCTGGGACCCATGCACAATGCCCTAACCACTAGGCCACCACACCCTTTCTCTCTGTATGTCTGTGGTGATCCTATACCCCATCTCAGGAATTTTGCTGCATCAACTTTTATACCTGGATTTCTCCTAATTTAGGTTCATAATTATTTCCTTTTTTTTCCATACTAAGATGATGAATGGTGGGAAATGTGTTGTGTTCCTCATCTCACAGGTAGCATGGCAAGAAGACAATTTAGTTTCATTTTTGTGTAAAAAATAACCAAAGCTTCTTCATTTGTTTAGTCCCAATATTACTCCTTGCAAATTATAAACTTAACTTCTGATAGTTTTCCTTTAACAATGACAGTCTACCTGCCACTGTCTTTAAAACTTGTCCAGTTGTTAACTGGATCTCAGCAGCTCCTCCAGGTCTCTTGGCTGCTCTGGGTGAACATTAATGCCCTCCACAGACTCTGATACTTAGTCTTGTATCAGATAAAATCCCAATAAATACAGTGAAGATGATGTTTGTAGCTTGGTAAACTACGAAAGGATTCAAGTGGTATAAATACTTTTGAAAGGCACTTGATGCAGAGTGTAAGCTTAGTGTTGGCTCTGTGTTTGGACCTACCTGTGGCGGCAGCGTCGTAGGAACCTCATAATCTTCCTGGCAGCCTGATCCTGCCTCTTCGTGAGCAGACTCCCTCTGTGAAACAGCCAAAACCCTAAAGTTAATTTATCCTTCGGCAAAAAAAAAGAAATCACAGGGTGTATTCTGAATCACAAAGTATTTAATAGGCCAACAGAGAACGAATCATCTCTCAAACTTATTTTGCTAATGATTTTCTTTTTGATAAATGACCCAAGACAACCAACATTTTTCAGTCCTGCAGACAAGCCTCCTAATTTAACTGTCACTTTATCAGTATGCAGCAAGATGAAGTAGTTCCTCCTTCAGCCTGCAGTCTCTACCAGAAGTAATTTATCCTATTATTTGGTCCAAATACCCCCTGTACTACGGTGTTTACCTCAGTTTGTGCTGTACCAGGGCAGCAGCGGCCCCACGGTGATGGGGCTTCAGCTTGCCAAACTCCTTGTAGCTGCGGTAGTATTGCTGAATTAGCACAGCCGCCCTCCTGCTCTGCTGGAACTTCTTCTGTTCGTGGTAGCTGCGAAATTTACTCTGGATAAGGATGGCGGCCTGCGTCATCTTCTTATAAAGTGCATACTGAGAACAAGAAAACATCAATATGTCATGTTGTTTTAGATGAAATTGCTTTGACTTCATGCTGGACAAGAACGTGACCAAAACATTTACCTTTAGGGCTATCCATGTTAGCTTGTAAATGGAAAAAAAGACACATTTCGAATGTTGCTCTATAAATGCCTTAAAGCAGGGAACTATTTTTGTGGTTATTGTTGACCTACCTGTTTGTATTTCTTGTAGCAACGTTGTATAACAGCAGCAGCTACTTCCTGTTGCTCTCGGAGCGGCCGTCCCTGTTGGGAAGTAGAATGGGACAGATAAAAAGTTACAATAGGAGTCCTGACGGCCACAAGGGATACTTGTAGGTTGCTGAGGTGTTGTCAGGGTTAGCACATGAATCGGCCTCAGAAAAAGAAGCACCCTTTGTGGACAGACCACCTGTCAAACAGTGGAGGAAGTGAGCTGCTGCCCAACAGAGAGCCACTTCAGAATCAGCTGGCAGATGGGCTAAAGGCAACTGTGGACGACAGTGAACAGTTTGTGATAATTAAACTTATTGAAAGTATCTCAGAGGTGGGTAAGAAGTTCAGGAAGGGACTGGGCAATGAGAAAGAAGACAAAGACAAAGTGGGAGCTCATTTGCTTCATAGATGTGTCTAAGTAATGCAGGGATACGGGGTCAGTGCAGCTCCCCTAAGCAAGGCCATGCTCTGCTCAAGCCATCCTTCCCATGCTGGAACCACAGGGACATATTTTTGTTTTTTTGTCATAATAGTATAATACATTTATAAGTAGACATACAGAAAACTCGACAAATATTAAGAATAAAATTAATCAATTGAAACCATGATGAGAAACAGTAGGACACAAGACAAAGTAGGTAATAAGGCACATTACATATGCTGAACTTCAATCCATAGGCAGATTTAAGTGAATCCATCATCCCTATAATCCAAAGAACAGATCCGTCCAGTTATACCAGCCCTTAGCCTGTAGCTCTGAGTCTGGGCTACAGAATAGACAGCTTTCAGGGCCTGAACACCAGGACTGTACCTTGTACTTGCGGAAGGCAGTTTGGACCAATCGGGCAGCCTCGTAAAGCTCTCTCTGCTCCGGATCTGACAGAGTCAGCTGGGCCAGGTCTCGCTCCACTTTACTGTTGGAGGCGTTGATGAACTCACTCCAGTCAGACGGAGAAGGAACAGCAGACCTCTCCAATGGACCCTCTCTAAGCGGAGATCCCCGAGGACTCAGGTTAGGGTTAGATGATGGTGTCAGAGGTTCATTGTACAGAGATCTATCAAAAAAGTAAAAAAAAAAAAATCTTTTTTATTTTTTCTTATTTACAAATGTTAAGCGCTGTTTGTAAAAGTGCAGTAAAATATTCATTAAAGTTCTTGCAAACTTAACATAATAGTTTAAATTTAATACAGTGTGTTTCCAGCTTGAGATCTCATTGTTTTTACCTTTCCTATTACTCAGACATGGATTATTCAATAAGTATTTTGTTTCAGTTTAGCTTTCTGCATGTTTTACTATAGAACTCCAGCCCATTGAAAAAAGTATTTGCACCCTCACAGATTTCTTCTATTTGCATTTTGTAATCTGAAGCATACATAGACTGTCACAAATATAGACAAGTTTAAAGAAATGCTGGGACGGCTTTTTAAAGAGGTAATTCACACATAAAAAGCCAGACAAACAGATTGAAAAAAGTTGTTGAGCAAAGGTTGTTTTGGGAAGTTCATGGGGTTATCATGATACTAATAGAGAAATACTTTATAATAATGGAAATCCCATGGATCACATTTTCGTGACCTTGGTTGAATAACACATGGTTTACAGGGCTGAGTAATCCTTGTAAAATCTGATCTCTGAACAGCAGCTGTTATTTCTCTGTCCGGAAAAACCGGTGCTCATCACCGTTCTATCTCAGATTAGGAAGCGACAAAATGCTTTGTTCCAACTTCTGCTAGAAGCTGAGAGAAGGTGTTTTTTTTTTAGCATCAAATCCACACAGTGACAACAACTCCTTTTTCAGCTTTAGATAATGCCTTAGTCAGGAAAATGTGGTTAAGACTGCAAGAGGTCTTGGACTTTTTTTTTTTCATTATAAAAAAGAATCTAATTGGCATAAGTGAATTGATATCAAGCTATAATGCTATGAGGTGATGTCATGAAATTGGCTGTCGCAAGGTAAGCAGCTTTCTTTGGGGTGAAGAAAATATCACAAGAACTAATGTTTCATAACAAATAAGTACACCTTTGTGTAAAACGCCCAAATTTCAACATATAAATGCCTATAGCGGTTTTTGGAAGGCTTTAAAAATCTTGATATAGCACCTTTAAATTAAAGCATAATTTATACAAAAGCAATTTGTTTATTCGTGGATTTGATCTTTGTGAGGAATTAAATTCTGCTTGATAATCTGTAAAATTGATGTGGGACAAAAAAGCAGACATAGAGAACCTCTAAGATGACCTCTTAGGTAAACTAACTCTACATTCTACACTCTACTTTGCTCTACTCTCTATGGCAAACAATTAATCCCATTCTGCCTCTTACTTTAACATTGATTTTCTTCCTTTAAGTTGTAGAGGAAATAAAGTCCTTAAATGACATCAATAGAAATTGTGAAACAACAATACAGTTTTTTTATGTTGACTGTTTAGTTTTTGACATTTTGAATAGTTTGTACATGCAAGATGGGTAGATGGGATACAATCTCAAATTTAATGCATATATTCTTTGGTGGTCTTAACTTATCTACAAGATTGTATTGGTTATACAATGGATGTAAGAAGTATGTAAACCTATGACAGGTTTCGGCAAAAAAGAAAAAAAAAATCTTATTTAACTTAGTGTGAACTTTGTTGAGATCTGTCTTCCCTCCCCAATGGTCCTCCTTACCGTAGGTGTATGATGCTTGGCAGCTGTTCTACATCTCCCAGGTAGCTGGCTAGCCAGTTCATGGTGGTGCTGACTGCTGATGTGTCTAAGGGCCCAGAGTCTGCAGTGCTGAAGTTCTCCCTTTTGATTCTCTCTGGTGTTGCTTCAATGATCTGCTCTGCCAGAGTTATCATATTTACCTATTGTTTTAAGAAAAACAAAGGTGACTGATGTTATCACCTATGTGGTAAAACTATATCTGCATACAGTCTACTTATGCTTGCTTTTATAATGGTAAGGGCTTGAGACAAATATTAGGGAGTTATTGCAGGACACAAGATAACAATAACTGCTGCAGGCTAAAATACTTCATTGAGCACTTCATCTGTTGGAGCAGTAATTAGACAGATATGGATGCCTGGAAGGAATTTCTTGGCTGTTGAAGAAGATCAATAAGCCCAGTTTATTATGCAGTGATGGTCACTGACAGGGTGCCAAGCTGTTTTGTTGTAGATCACCTATCAAATAAAAGGCTCTGTTCTGAATACAGCCCCAACCTCTGATAGTAAACAATCCTTGCAGCAAATCAATTTACATCTGCACCTTTTCACTGTGTTTTCAATAGGTTGACAAATATGTTGGCACCACTTATAAAGAATTATGATTTAAACTGCTGGAAGTACAAGTCATTTAAATTAAATTTGAAAAAAGGAGTTTAAATTTTTTTTTTATGTTACAAAACCAACCTTGATTTTTACTCTTGTAATGGTTATATAGTAGATAGGGCCAAACATACTTGGGAGCTTCAACTTAAAAGCAAACTTGATGCTGCCCTTTATTAAACTTGGCTAAATAAAGAAACTTTCTTTATAAAAAAGGTATCCATATAAAGATTTGCTGGTAGATTGAAAACTTGCGCTGATTATTAACTTTGTTAATACAGCAGATGTCTGGGAGATATGGGTTTAGTGTTAGAGCAGCAGCCCTGTTTACTTTCATCAAACAAACAAGTTAGATATCACTAACATGGAACCATGTCCAACAAACTCAGACAAACACTCATTAGTGACACCATACAAACTCACCAAAATTATAAAGGAGGGAAAAAAAATCTTTACTTAGTTGGAGAACTGAAGACAAGAGCGGAATCTGGGGGGTCAATATGTTTCCATAACAAACATTGACAGCAACTATATCCCAAATGGAAGGCATTCCTGGAAAAATATCAATTCTTACCTTCAAAGTTTAAACTCTACTGGAACTTAAACCGTGAGGTTATTGTCAGATGAGACTAAAACTACAATGTTCAGAAACAAACTTTCCAGCTAGATTTGGGATGGTAAAAAAGACATATCAGAGGGACGGTCAAAATAATGTTCTTGAGGTTTTACAAAATATTGAATAAAAAACAGTTTTGCCACCAGTGATTTCTGACAAAACAATTATATCTTAACATGCTTTCTTAGAAATCAAATTGAAATTTAATTTCCGTGGAGGGTACTTTTTTGGTTCTGCACTAAAATATGAAGTTTATTTGAAGGATTTTCAACCATTTCTATCTGAGGGTACAAACAAATATAGTTTGCACTGTCGATGTTTCATTTGCTGTACAAGGCTGCCAATCAAATCTGATATAAATCTATATAGAAGCTGACGGATCTCTTAAAATTGTGCCCCTGCTGTGCTAGAGCCAGTCACAAGACGATTGTTGAACACTTTTCCTGCTCACCTGCAGGTTATCCATCTGAGTGAGACAGTCCTGGTTTTCCAGATCCTCTCGATATGATAGAAGTTCTGAATCTGCCATTTCTCTGTCCGCCATAACCAGCATGCCAAGCTGCTCTCGCTGCCGTAGTCTGTTAACCAGTTTCTCTTTTCCTAGACTGGTGCCCCCACTGATCCCCACAGCCTTCTTCCCCAGGCTGCTGTGGGAGAAGTTCTCTCTGGACGTCCATCTGGTGGTCCCAGTGCTGCCTCCTGTTGGTAGACCTTTGTCTGCACTCAGGCCTTCTGAGGACACACTCTTTGTGATGGAGGACAGTTTATGGAGCTGTTGCTGCTCCAGGCTCAGAGGGACAGACATGGGCTTGTCGGGCCGATTGTGAAATAATTCAGGGTTGGGTTTATGCTTCTTAGCTAATGGGAGGTCTCTTTGGCCATCACTGCTGTAGCAGTTAGAAGGCTCTGATCTTGGCCTTCTTAAATCTGCAAAAAAAGAGTAGTGATAATATTAGCTGAACACTTTGACACCATGTTTCACTTACAGTAAAACTACAGTGTCTTGCAAAAGCACTTCTGCATGTTTTTCACCTTTTCTCACTGACCTCTCTTTATAAACTTAAATGTACATATCAATGTGACTTTGAGTGGCTTTGTTTGACCTTTTTAACACATAAGTGCTCTGACCACAACATTTTAGCTCCAGTTTTCTGTTTAGACTTATAATCCTGCTGACAACCAAAGGAAACCATAATCTGAAGTTATCTTTAACTTATTTGCCCTGTTATTAAACTAATTCTACATCTATTCTGACCAGCTTCCCTGTCCCTGAAAAAATAAAACATTCCCACAGCATACTGTTGCCATTATTGTGTTTATCCATGATGATTTCCTGTTGGGGAGAGTGATTGACATTCTCTGCGTGTTTTTGATGTCCCCTCAATGACTTGACAAACTACAAATTACCCTTCTTTCCAATAATGGGTGTCTTCTTAACAGTATTCCCTAAAGACCTTTTGAGTTGTGAAACATTCTATAACTTGAGCCCTTCCTCTTTTATTCCCTCCTTGGCTGGTCTATCACTTAAGAGTGTTTGCTGTGAAGTTCTGCCATATTCTTTGCAGTTTGGTTACAGTAGTTGACTAAAAAGAGATTAATGATATTCCTTCATGTCCCAAGCCTGCAACATTATCTCTGATGTACATGGTGTGTGAGTAACAAACTTCTGCACCATTTACAGTTCAGCTTTATTTTTTCTGAGATTAACTCAGCACACATATGGAATGTACTAAGGAGGCTAAATCCCCAGTTCCATTGGATCAATTCTCTCATTCAGTGAATCAAGAAGATGCAACGTTACCCTATTCCACCGGGAACGTTAACAGACTTTGCGCTGGTGGACTCAGATCACATCAGGACTGCATTGCACTATAGTAGTGTACCTTTAGGCTTTAAATAGTACAACATCCCACTAAATGCTTAATTTTGCCAGTACTGCCAACGTCTACCTGCTCTTACCTAATTACATTACCTTTTGTTTTATCTATCATAGATGAGTTCAAATATTTAGTTTTACATTTTTTTCCTCATATAATGCCTGTATTTATTATAATCGCGGATTAACAGTAGGAACAGAATTTTCTATAACATAAAAGTCCAGAAAATGCGATCTAAAATATGCACATGTAGTCTTTTACTTGTGAAATCAACCAGATTCACTTTGCTTTTCATTAACTGACTTCCTGGCCAAAAAATCCGATCTGCTCTAGATTGATGTGGAGTTGGTGCAGCAAGTGGCAAAAAGTAGAAAAGCCGTGTTTGGGATGCTTCAGATATGCAACGCTGCAAACCGGGTGGAACCACTCTGACTGACTATAATTACTGCGATCTGCTGCGGCGGCCCAGTGAAGCCGCACCGCTGCAATGGAACCAATAAAGAGGCTAAAGCAGGATAAAAAGAAAAATGTAAAGACTTTTTTAGATAAATGAAAGCATACATTTTTCTTTATTGTCCTTTCCCTCCACTATCATTTCTACCTAATCACATTCAATTTCAAACAAGCACTTTGGTTTTTGTGGCAGTAATGTGTCAAAATAAATGTAAAAGAAGTTTATAGGGACAGAAAGAACTTTTGCAAGGCACTCTATTCGTCCCACACCTTCAGGTTACACACTATTATGCAGTTTAGTTTATTAAACGAACCTGGATTGGTGCTGGTGGTGCTGGGTGTGGTTATTGTGTTAGCAGGGCCTCCTTTCTTGCCACTGGGTGCTACTATGCTGTCGTTTGCCCAGCTGACCATCCAGCTGTCGGAGGTGGGCGCATCAGGGGTGGGGGAGAAAGACATGCGAGTTGTGGCCGGCAGAGAGGCTGGTGGTTGCTGCTCTTCCCTCTGCAGTTGCTCAAGACACTCAGCCAGCTTGGTATGGCCTCGAGAACGAGCAATTGACAGAGGCAGACGACCCAAAGAATCTGGTATGGCAAGGGCCCTTCTGTCCCATTTATATAGGACTACTGCTGCCTCTAGATGACCAAGTGCACATGCCCACATCTAGATGGAAAACAGACAAATGAACAGCAACAAACAAGTTAGAATATTTGTGACTCATACATTCTTATCAAATAGTTTTGGCTCTTACCAGAGGTGTGCATGAAAAGTGATCAACATTTAGAGGGTCCACTTCCAGCTCCAAGTCAATACTATCAGCATGTTTAGTACTGCATGAGAAACAGAAAACGATAAGCATCTTTAAAATGTATTACGGTGTAGCATTTTGAGCAACCACAGTTCTGATTAAATAGTTTGCTGTATAATATCATTCTCACCGCCACTTGATGAGTGTCTGGATGAGGGTGGCGTAGCCCTGGCCAGCAGCCAGGTGAAGGAGTGTCATCCCTCTGAAGGTCTTAGAGTGGATTAAATGTTTGGACTTGGCCCAGCAAGCTCTGCTCATCATCTTTTCACAGACCACTACAACACGACTCTCAAAGGAGCTGCTGGCCTGCATCTGGCCAGATGCACACTGAAAGAAGAAAAAAAAGAACACATATTATAAATTATTTTAAAACTTATGTTTCTATGGTTTTCAGTTTTAATCAATCAGTGATATAAACATACATCAAATGAGCATGATGTTCTCAGATGTACAATAATAATTTTCAAGCATTATGTGGCTTTTTACCTGTGACTGATTGTTGTTCCCTCCTCCACCCCCTCCTCCACTGCCTCCACCCGTTCCTCCCCCACCTCCACCTCCTGTTCCTCCTCCTGCTCCGCCACTCCCTGCACTGCTCGTCTGCTGCTGGCTGGCCATCTCTGCCATCCTCCTCTCCATCTGCTCCAAGCGCTCCAGGATTGACATTCTGAACTGGTTGTCTGGACAAAAAAGTGGGAAACAGAACAAGAATGTGTCAGCACACATGTAGCATCAGTTGTATGAAAACAAAACAGTTGTTCCACATCGCCTGAAACCCAGAAAATGCCTTAATCCCACAAGAACAAATCATCAAACAGTATGTGCCATAAGTTATGTCGATATGAACTAAAACATCCTCAGGCTTACTATCTATTAAGGGACAAATACACAAGACTGTTTTTCATTAGCAGCATAGCTGACGAAGCTATGTTATACTTTAAAACAACAAAAATATCATTTAATAAATCATTTGTATGAAAAATATGCATGAATCATAAACCTCTTCAAAGTAAAACCCTATTGTACGAATCGATTTGACCTTTTACCTACAAGAACTGCTTTTCTCCAGGCTACTTTGAATATCTCTTTTAGCCCATACAAAGCAACTTCTCATTTCCCTGGGTGATGTTGATTAACCAAAATGTTAGCATATCTGGGACTGTTGTCTTACGTCTGTATTGAAATGCTCCGAGGGACACAGGCAATAAAAAAGCAGCCCCCAAATTCCAGGCGTCTCACCTGCAAGCCTCCGATATTAACAAAAACTCCAGCATACAGAACAGGTGTTAAGAAAAAATAAGCAGAAGTTTGATTTTAAGCTTCTTGTAGTTGCGATGACATGTCAATGCATAAGACAATGAAAATTTCCCCTACATGAATAATCCTACTTATCAAATTTCAGAAGATGGAATATCCATCCTTATACAGTCATTTATGTTCTTTCACAGTTTAAAAAATGCACCTTACAAAAACAATAGGAGTCTAATTTTTATTGGACATCCCTTTTTGGTCTCCCAAAATGCTTTTAATTAGTTTAGATAAAATATATAATAATAATATATATAAACATATTACAGCCACCCATTAACAGCCATCAGAGAGCCTGTAAACATTTCCCAATTTAGACTACTCTTTTGAAACCGTGCCAAGAGCGGTCTGAGCATGTTAACCAAGATAACTGTAGGGTGTAAATGGCACGCAAACTGAACCGGACTGTGCCAGACACAACCAAAGCGCACTAAACTAGTACTAGTTCAACAGTATTGCTCGGTGTGGTTCAGTCGCCATAAAACAGAAGAAGAAGAAGAAGAACTGTAAACAACAATTGAAATCTTCTCAACACTACATTTTATAAAATGGCTTCAAAGGGGCATGGTGTGACCTGGGATGATGCTGAGACTGCCTTCTTCGCCTGACTCTCCGCAAACAATGAAATATCACAATTATAAACAAACATAAGGAACCGGTCAGCACAGTAAACTGATCCAAGCTCAATCTGAACTAGAAGATCACCCATTTATTGCACTTGCAAGTATAATGCTAAATATACAAGGGTGGATTCTGACTAACATATAAATCTTCATATTGCACAAAATCCTTGCTTTTATAAGGGAATAATAACAGAAATAAGAAAGAATCTATTCATCACAGATTTTGATAGAATATGTGACTCATTGATTTTTGAACATTAGAATAATCTGACCTAGGTTAGTCACACTACATCCAATCTGTCATTTGCTAACTACTTTCAACATTAAACTTTTTTTCAGAGCAGTTAAACCACAGTACATGGATAGAATCTGAAAGACAGGAAAGACTTCAGACAAAACTCTAGCGATACCACCTTACTGAAGGTCTTTTCCAGCTGATTAAATAGACCCTATTATGGCCCTGCTCCCTGCACCTGTTTGGAAAAGAGATTAAGAAGCTGGCAGCCCAAAATAAATCAGAACCTATTCGACTATCCCAGGTCCTTGAGAAAACAGTCTTTTCACAAATTTAGATGGATGGAGGTGCAATTTCGGACAAATATAGGTCTGTGGCATTGAGAATGGTTTCATTGCCAAGGAACTGCCATCTGCTCCAGAAAAATTATAATAAATAGTAAACAGATGTTTAAAATAAAATAGGACCAACTGTTAATTTCTATATATTTAAAACATCTTCAGAACTAAGATTGATCTACCAGTCTTTTTCCATACTTGCATGTTTATCCTTTAGCCTTTACAAAACCCATTAAGTCTTCTTGGCTGTATGAACTCTTCAGGTATACATTTGTTCATGCAAAGTAGCCACAAAGTTGATTTTAACCTCCCAGCAATTCTCCTTAAGCAACATTTTATATTATTCTGCCTTTGATGAGTTAAGATAAGGCTTAAAAAAATCATATGAGTCCTATGAAATAAATGTCTTTTTAATTAAGATTAAAAGGTCAAAAACCTGATTTAAGTGCTTCTTAAATTACTGACATGTATAGTAGGCAAGTAATGGCTTTAGCATCATAGTAAAAAAAAAAACTTCACCCAACAGGAGACAAAAGGCTATATTTAGCACTTAACTTCTTCAAGATGAAAACATAAGAAACATTAAAACAAAACAAACAAAAAGAATATACTGATGAGATGTTGAATTACTAATCAATTTTATAGAAATGTATGTAAGTGCTGAGAAAATATCTTCTTGTATTATATTGTAAATGATGCATTCACTTACTCTGCACAGATAAAGACCCCTCACCTTTGCATTCTACATGCATGAGGTGAGAGCAGCCTGACCTACTTTCTGATAACTTTAGCAAATAACTATTTGAAAACATGGGGGAGCACATACAAGATGAAATCTTTTTTATAAACATAAAAAGCTCAGGCAGACTTTAGAACATGCACTCCACAAAGAACAGAAATATTTGTGTGTGGGGGAAATACAAAAATACGATGGATGTCGATTAACATAGAGACAATAAAAAAGTTAATTGTCATATTTATGAATGAAAGTTATTAGAACCTATGAACTTTGTATCTATTGCAGAATCTCAGATGTTTTTTTCAAAAGAATGCTTTGTCATATGTTTAAAATTCTAAAATATTTGTTTTACCTCTTCTAAAGCACTTCAGTCTTCTAGACTTTTCATATATCGCAGTCTCAGTAATCCAGGCCTCTTTAAATACTCAGGTATTTCACTTGAAAACATCTCAAACTAACTTACTAATGACACGACTACCTGGAGTGAGTTGTTTAGATACATAACATTTTTATCTTTTTTGACAAAATACTGTGGCGATTAGTGGTTGCAGGACATTTTGTTGCTTTGAAAATTGGTAGGCTATAGTTGTAGGTATGATTTTTTGTTCCCAACCTTTTTGTTTAGAGAAAAGAGCTGTCTGTTATTGAGTATGTTGCCCAGATAAACTTTCAGTTTGTGTTGTTTGGCAGTTCATGTAAATTCCTACAGGTTTTAACTTTTGACAGGTTGCAAATAAATGTAAGGACCTGCAACAAATGCATGGTCTCTTTACAAAAAGAAATCACCTACACAAAAATAAATAAAGGCAGTCATGAGCATGAGTGTGCATTTACACACACATAAGGTATGCCATGTACAGACAGTGGGTTGGGATGGGCAGTGAGAGCCCACTGCAGCAGGGAGTATAGAAGACTGCATTAGCATTCCCCATTTAGCTACTATGAGGCCGTTTCTGTGGCAACCTGCTGCTGAGTGGTAACTAGGCGACAGGAGCATGGCTGTGTGTGTATGCCCTGCCTGTGTGCTATTGGCTTATTGATGAAGGAGAGGAGAAGGACCCAGTACACAAGACAAAAATGTGGATAGACAATGAACATAAGCTAAAAATCTTTCCATGCATCCCATTTACTCAGTGGTGATGCCACAGGTAGGGACCTCTAACTCAATGTGGGGAGTCTTTACAGCACAACCCGTTGACATTTGCGCTTTATAGTATCTTGGCAGCCCTGGCTAAAGGCTCCATAGAGAGCTAATGTCACAGAGAGAGACACAGAAAAAGAGGTCAAGTAGCTTCTATCATTGGAAAAAAAGCATAATGCCACAGGCTAATAAACTGCTGGTCTCTGTGACAGTATGCTTCACTGTGAAAAATGGGCCATATACCTCACAATGTGGCCCCAGCCTTTAATTCCTCTGTTGGCTGTATACTACCTCAGTGACCAAACTGTCAGATTAGCAGATCATTTTCAAAACAAACAACAAACTGTTAAGAGTGTTTGTAGAGTGTCCCATTAGGCAAAATGTATCTTTATCCATCAACATATTGGCTTTTAGATGGTGTGGGGGGGTAAGAGTTGCCTCTGGTCTGAGTGCATCAGTTGAGAGTGGAGTCAAGAGGTTGAGGTACATGCCTTCATATAAGGTTGTGCTCTCACTTTGCCCTTGCCTGATATGTGAGAAGATGTACAAACACAGAGATAGAGGGAAAGAGTTGGGGATAGTAAGCAGTAGGCTGACATGTCTTTGTTCAGACCCAGTGCTGCAGTGTGCTGCAGTGCAGATGATGTCATCTCCACCTGCTGCCTGCTGCTCCAAATGCGATGCACGTCCACTGCAGAGGGAGGATGGGGTAGAGACGAGTGGGAGGAGAAAGAGAAGGTGAACAGCCAAACAGTACTGTAAAAACACTGTGACGCAGTAAGGGCCCTCCCTCTCTATGGTTTACCCCTCATGAAAGTGTGTGGTTGCAGATGTGATCCTTGTCACACATTAGGGCCAGATTTTGACAAAGTATTTTACAACAGCGATGGCTGCAAAAACTAAAAAAAAGACAAAAACAATTCACTGTGAGAGGAGTTTAAAGTTTGCTTTTTAAGCCAGATACATTGAACAACAATTCAATGTAATCTTTAAATATTCATAAGTTTTAGGCTTTTTTATGACTTTTAAAGTAACTACAATTATTCAAAAGTACCTTAGGGATTTGAGTGATATCTGAATCAAAAATCACTTGTTAATGGCTATGTAATCGCATTATGGATTAAAATTTGAGGCAGGATTTTAGAAACACCAGAGATTGGATAATTATCTAGTATTCTTTAGGTCAGTCGTGATTTCAATATGATACGGACATTGTTATCAAATAATAGATTCAGACCCAGGACCTGGGTCTGACTCATTGAATCTGGACACTGAAACTTTTAGGATCTTATCAAC